AAAAAAAAAAAAAAAAGCCACCCTAGCAAATGGCCAGATATAATAGCAATTGGGTGTACTTGGAGGGCTTGTACTGAGCCCCACAGATAAAGGATTTCAATATGTCCCACTTGACATTTTTTAAAGGTTTATGTTGGTAGCGCTCCACTAAGAATATTCTCATTAATTTAAGATGGCTTAAAATTTGCTCCTAATTTCCCTATTTTAAGATGTTATCTAGTAACAATTCCTCTGCCGTCTAGTGTAATTACTGTAATGCCTGCTGAAGGGCCAGAGATGAATGAGGGGTGTAGGTAGCTTGGAAAATGTTTAAGATAACTGACCTCAGAAAGCCACAGTCAGGGAGATAGGGCAGCTTCTTTGCAATAGAATTATCTCGGTAGTAATTCTTCCCATCAACAGAGATGATTTTTTAAAATAAACACAATGGATTAATTTATAGCTCACAATATTAAACTGTCACAAAGAAATTTATATACTAGAAGTGAGCTGGATTTCTCCCGTAAAATCAATGTTGAGAACACTTAGACTAGAATCCTTGGGTGGGAGGAAGGTCAAAACACAGACAACGACTTGATGCAGAGATCCAAGATCTGTATTCATGGTGGTACAACCGTTGCCCCCTCCTTCACTTTCCTATCCCCAAAGTGTAGACGAGGATAGAATTTCCTTCTCCTTCTGCTCCAAGTTCAGGGTGTGGGAAGGGTCACAAATGTCTCTCAAAAGAAGGTAGTGTCTGTCTGAAAGTGAAACTGCAATAAAAAGAAGTCAACCAGTCCCTCTGAGTTAATTATCAACCTCCACAAACCTCTCACTGCAGGGCAGAGGCAACGTAAAACTTCGAAGACTGGGAAATAGTTATTCCCCTGGAGAATGTTTCAAAGGAACTAAATTCCTTACCTCAGTCTCCTCTCTTCTACCAAGACCACACTCTACCCTTCTAGCGAAGGCTGAATGACAAGATAGGAGTTATACGTTGGATATGGAGGGGGGCTTCCAAGGAATGATTATTAAAAGCCAGACAAGTCCCGTCAAGGTCTCTTTCCCTCCTGAAGCCCATGAAACCTCCCAAAGGCACCCCGGGGTCTGTTAGCGAGGCCAGCCCTTCTCATCTCTTAACTAAAGAATCTTGGGAGGCTGGCTGCACCTGCGAATGGCAGGACTTGAACTCTGCCCATGTGCTTTGCTGTGACTAGATGCCCCCATGCAGAACTTGACCTTCAGGGAGAGCACAGTCCTCGTCACTGTTCACATCCCGAGGCCATCCCGAGGCCAAGAACAGTTACTTTTCTGAAGGACCTACGTCTTTAGTTTGCATTGTGCTCCAATTCCCTGCCTCCTCTCTGTGCCAGGAACCGTGGTGTGGGACCAAAAAATTCCCACCAGATGGAAATCCTCTCCCAGGCCATCAGTCAACTGTCTCCAGAACTGTACGGGCTGCAAGCAGGAGCAAGCCTTGGTTCCTACCCAAAAGAACTATCAGGAAGACCACAGGAACCCAGTGTATGAAGCCTCCCAAGGAACAGAGATTTCATGTGCCATAGGACTTTAATGGAGGGTGAGGTCACAGAGGTGATGGCATGGACAGAGAGAACGGTCACTTTATCTGAGCCCCAAGAGTATGTATAGGTGTCTGGCTCCAGGCGAACCCCCAAGAGCTAGGTCAGAGAAATTCTGCAAGATTGAGATTGACTTTAGTGCGATCTGAGTTATAAGGCTCTCCTGGGAGACTCAGAGATTCCAGCGCAAACCCAATGGCTTCAGGGGTCTGCTAGACCTGGGAGTACTGTTCACCCTGAAAAGGACATGGCCAGTGGTCTTCTGGGCTGCCCAAGTCTGGTCCACTCTTCACAGGCTGAAAGGAAAATGCCCCTGACTTTCCCTCCTCCATTCTCTGTGAAACCTTTTCATACGGGTCAGAGAAGAGCTGGGTAGTCTTCACTGAATAACTAAATTGAGATTATAAAAATTAAGTCTATTTTGAAGAGACCAAGGAAACAAAATTCCCATTAAAATGAACGCAAACAGTGGACAGAAGAAATTTCCTTACAATAGATCATTAAAGGCAACTTACTGATAGGTAATATTTGCAAATCAAATTTCTGATAAGGGGTGAATATGCAGACTATACCAAGACTCTTACAGTTCACTAAGCAGCAAGTAACTCAAAAAACACGCAAAGGACTTGAACATTTTCCCAAAGATACATGAACGGCCAAGAAGCCTATGAAAAATGATCAACATCACTAATAACTACAGGAATGCAAATCAAAACCACAGTGAGAGATTACCTCATAACTATTAGGATAGTTCTGAGCAAAAACACAATAACACGTATTGTCAAGGATGCAGAGAAACTGGAACCCATGTGCTCTACTGATAGAGATGCAAACTGCTATGGCCACTATGGAAAACAATCTGGAGGTTCCTCAAAAAATTAAAAGAATTATCATGTGATCCAGCAATCTGACTTCTGGCTATATGTCCAAAAGAATTAAAAGAAGAGCTATTTGCACACCCCTGTTTGCTGCAGCATTGTTCATAATAGCCCAGAGGTCAAAGAAACCCAAAGATCCATCAGCAGAAGAATGGGTAAGTAAAATGTGGTCTCTACACACAATGGAGCATTATTCAGCTTCCAAAAAGGAAATTCTGTCACAGCCTGCAGCATGGATGAGCCTTGAGGACATTACACTAAGTAACTTAAGCCGGTCACAAAAAGACAAATGTTATAGGGTTTCACTTACATAGGTATCTAAAGTAGTCACATTCACAGAAACAAAGAGGGGTGGTGGTTGCCAGGGGCTGCCAGGAGAGAAAGGGAGTTGTTCAGTGGGTGTGGAGTTTCAGTTTTCCAACGGGAAAGAGCTCCGAGTTCTGTCGCGCAACAACGTGAATATACTTAATTGACAGCGCTGA